GGCCGCGCGTGACGATCTTGGCGAACAGGTCCGCCGGGTCCGGCGACAGCCGCCGGTGCCTCGAGTAGTGCAGCGTCAGCTACTCGAACGGCACCGTCGTCACCTGGTGGCGCTGCAGGGCTGTGAGCAGCGCGAGCCGGTCCGTCGGGTGCTCGGCCTGGGGGAACTTGATGCGCGCAAAGTAGGCGTCCAGCTGGGCTGGCGTGTACTGGGGCGTGCGGGAGCCTGCGATCGGCGGCGACATGGTCGTGACTTGTTTGGAAAGGGAATGGAGGGCCTGGTTCCGGGGTCTGTCGATGGATGACGAGACGAGGTACGGCTGCGAACGCGAAGAGGGTCGGGACCGAGGCTTTATTTTCCTGTGGGCGGAGCTGGTGATCGGACTACAACTAGAGCGGCATACGGGAAAACTTGCCCAGTTCGTCGCTTGACGATTCAGGGGTCCGAAGGTGACCTTTCCGCTTGGTAATCTGATCCGCAACCTCACGATGGATTTCCAACTACTTGAACCCCGTGGCACTCTGACGTGTCACCACTGAACAGAGGCGACTGCGGAGGCAAAGTCCGACCCTAACCGATGGTTGGAGATCGAGCGGGGCCGAGAACCGGCGTGAGTCATCGGCCCGGTCTGCCGTCCTCTGCTACCGAAAGGTACTCGACAGGGGCGACGCTCCGGAGCATGGAGCATGCATTTGCCAAGTGGCAGGATGTATCTATAGGCCTAGCTCGGCGAATATCTTGCTGTTGTGTTCTCCCAGCCCTGGCACCTTTCCGAAAGACGCTCTCTCCGGTCCACAGCCTGGTGGGATGAGCGCCGGCACCCGTCCGGCATCTGTGTCGATCTCCGTCCACCGGTTGCGTGCCTTCAGCTGTGGGTGCTCCCATACGTCGTGGAGCTCATTGATCTTGGCGTTGGCAATGGCGGCTTCATCCAGCTTTGCGAGTACTTCCTCCGTGGTCAGCTGCGCAAACGCTCGGCATATGATGTCCCTCAGTTCGTCACGGTTGGCTACGCGCAAGCTATTCGTCGCGAACCTTGCATCTTCGGCCAGAGCGCTCTCTCCCAGGACTTTGTGACACAGATTTACCCACTCCCTCTCGTTCTGGAGCCCCAGCATGACAGACCCGCCGCTGCCCGTGTCGAATGGTCGTACGGATAGATGCTCGCGTGGGCGGCCGGCGCGTACCGGGGGAGGGCACCGTCGTATGTGTAGTACATCGGAAAGCCCATCCACTCGACCATGCTCTCGAGCATGGAAATGTCGATTCGCGAACCCAAACCAGTCTTTCCGCGCTTGATGAGCGCCGTCAGTATGTTCGCGTGCGCATAGATCCCCGCCGCTATGTCGGCGAGCGAGATGCCGACCTTGACACGCTCGTCCTGGGTGCCCGTGACGGACAGCACGCCAGCCTCGCTCTGGACCAGCAGGTCGTACGCCTTCTTGCCGCGGTAGGGCCCGTCGGCGCCATACCCTGAAATGTCGCACACGATGAGCCCTGGGTTCTCTCCGCGCAGCGCGTCAAAGCTGAGGCCGAGCCGGGCGCTGGCGCCAGGGGCCAGGTTCTGCACGAGGACGTCGGCGCGGCGGACGAGTGTCTTCAGCACGTCGAGGTCCCTGGCGACCTTGAGGTCCAGGGCGAGGCTCTCCTTGCCGCGGTTCGCCCAGATGAAGTGCGACGACTGGCCCTTGACGCGCGTGTCGTAGGCGCGGGCAAAGTCGCCGACGCCGGGACGCTCGACCTTGATGACGCGCGCGCCTTGGTCGGCGAGGTGGCGGGTGCACAGGGGGGCCGCGAGCGCCTGTTCGAGGCTCACGACTGTGATGCCGGCCAAGGGGAGGTCGGAGGCCGGGGTCGAACGATGGCGCGAGGGCGAGAGAGTCTGCAGACGCCGTGCTGCCCATGGGAGCCTGGTGTTCACACGTAGGAGTGCAGCCATGATCGGCGAGTTTGATGGATTGCCTGGTTTCTTGGAGGGCAGAATGACAGGCGGTGGTGATGGAGGTTCAATTGACTGCCTCATCCATATAGCCGAATGGACTACCAAGTCGGCGACTAGAATGGTGCACCTGGGACAGGAGCTTCAACGACAGCACCATAAAGTGTCTCTACTAACGCTTCATGGACCTCTTGCATCAATCGCCCTCAAATTAATGGCCTTAGGGAAAATATCAGAGAAAGAATAGCGATCAGGCTACCTTCCGTATAATGCCAACTCAGTATCGAACAAAACCCCAAAGCACCCACCCAGCTCAACCATGTAGTCGAGCAACGCCCATGCAATGCAGTCCCAGAGATCATCGATATCCATGCTTTGGGTTCCAACCCTCTTCGGCAGATGCCGCAACATCCTCCCGTGGAGGCAACACGACGAGCGACTCCCCGCTCCAAACCCTCGATGCCGCATTCACCGTCATCGACGGGAACCATGCCCAGAAGATGACCATGACAGCCAGCATCGGCACGCTGTCAAACACGTAGAGGGGCCACTCGTGAGTCAAGAGATACCCGTCCTGGCCCATGACGAACTCGACGAGCCGGAACGCCGAGCGTGCCATGATGAGCGCGCTGACGCTGTACAGCATCCAGAGCCTCTGCTGCCAGGGCACGCCCCGCGCAACGGAGCCCTCGTGACGCAGCATCCTCCGGTGAAAGATGGCCGTCGTCGACATGAAGAGTCCAAAGATGCAAAGATGAAAGGCGAGGCCGCCAATGATGACCATCTCGCCAATGTGCGCCAAGTCATCGATGACCATGAGCCCCGCGGCGCCGCTCTGGCTCATGAGGGCCAGGATGTCGCCCGTGACGAAGATGCGCGTCAGGTTTCGGGGCTTGAAGATCGAATACGCCTCGCCGTGCACACTGCGGATGACGCGACCGAGGGTCATGTAGATGGAGGCCGCGTAGAGCACGGGCGCGAGCAGGATCAAGCTGTTTTGGATCGCGTAGGGCATGAGCTTGGCGGTGTTGTGGTGTGCTCGAATGCGGACTCCGTAGCCGATGATCTGGACTGCCAGGCGTACGTTAGGAACCGCGAGATGTGCATGATACGCAAAAGTCAAGGGAGGGGGTGTGCTCACAGAGACCCCCGAGGGCGAATGCGATGCAGAACCAGCTGCGCGTGCGCCAGAGACGCCAGCCAACGGCCGAGGTTGCGATCAGGAAGAGAACCGCAAAGGTGGCGGCGAGAGGGACAGAGGGGAGATACTTCCAGAGAAAGTAGTCGCCGCGAAACGGTTCAAGTTTGGCCATGATGTCGTAAGAGGTCGTACGGGCTTTCCAGAAGCGATGAAGATGAACTGGAACGGCGGTTTATGGTATGGATTGCAGAACGAGGAGAGCATACCGAATTGATCTTCCCAAAACCGCGTTTATTGTGCTATTTAACTGCAAATCTATCATGTTTGTTTGGTATCAACGGCGGCACCGAAGATCGGGTTGCGATCCGGAAAGCGAAGACGTCGTGTCGGTACGAATACGCCGTATTGCGACTTGGGTGCGGTTTGCTCCACCCCCAGAATGCGATTCGAGCTGCGAATCGGAATCTAAGAGGCGGCATGACTCGTTCAAATCTAGCCAGAAGGCAGTACAAAGATCTGTCCTCTGCCACGGTCATTCTACTGTCGGATCTAGATTACACTCTGGACACCAGCCTCAACCTTAAAGAAGATTCAGAAGAATGGGGTGGCAGGCAACACAGCTATGGCGGATCTAGCCAGCGATTCTGGAAAACCACATCGACTCACTTGCCCATGCTGCGAGGTTGTAGGACTCGTGAGAGTTGTCCACCCAGCTTTTCAGCTGTAGGCAATATTTGCGCTCTTTCAGCTACCGAAATCCATTTCCTGACCAGGCTTCGCCATGGCCGAAACGGAATCGACACTGCTGCTGCTTCCGCACACAGCTGCAAAACGGAACACCAGATCTCCAAGGCTAAACATGTTCTCTGTCGTTCCGCCTGTCTATATGCGGTGCCCTCTCTGAGTGTCTCAAAGGTTGCTGTTCAAGAGGACATTTGGATGCGAACATAGCAAAGAAAACGTTTCGATGCCATGAATACTTGATAAACAAGTTGAGTTTGTGTGAAAGTCGAGAACGAAATATGCCCACTGTTGCTGAATGGCACAAGTGCGGCGGACGATCAATGGAAATGGGATTCATTGCTCTATGAAGCGATCTTGGCGCATATTGTTGGGCATTGATTTATGATTTGACAGCTGTGAAATACCTAAATACGAAGAAGGCTACTTTGAGAGGAAGAAGGTAAGTCTTATGACCGACTTCATTCTGAAGCCCGAAGTGAGCCGCCTTCGGAATCGTTTTCGGCATCACAGGGAGCGACAGTGCGGAGAACCCTGGATTACAGGGCTCGATAGTGGGGAAGGTGCCTGGAGCCTCCTCAAGCTGCGAGCTGCGTGAGGCCAGTCACCGCTTGCCGATCACTAATGTTAGCACCTCATACAGGCACTATGGAACTACACAGGCAAGACAGGCCATACCTTCCTCGGCCAGCATCTTTATTTCCATTTCCCTTTTCATTTCCATTTTCACGCTTGCTTCTATTTTCACTTCCATCTCCATCTCCATTTCCATGTACATTTCTATTTCCATTTTCGCTTTCACGTTTATATCCATCTCCGTCTTCATTTTCGCTTCCATTTCCATGTTCGTCTTTGACGTCGGAAAGCAGCGCCTTCACTCCAATCCGTCCGCTCTGCCACAAGTCAAGGCATTGGCGGTTTCGATCTCAAAACGATGCTAGACTTATCCAGTCAAGTTCGTCTCGATAAGACGTCAACCCTGCATCCATACTTCACTTCAAACACGGCCACAGTCAGACTATGACACTGCCTTCATTGCGGTCCTAACAGCAACGACCATGACCATCAATCGATCATCATCAATATCGTCTGCCAGGGACCCGAGCTGCTGCTTCCTGTTCAACCATGTGCCCTCAGCCGACGCGACGCCAGGCGACCCGATCGGATGATCGAGAGAAGCAGACGCATGGCCGATCCTTCAGACCCCCATGCTATTCATCCGCAGGAAGATATACCGAAGGCCCGCCCGCGGGGTGAGCAGCACTGCAGTTCCAACTACATCGCATCCCACATCCCTGCTCGAGTCCGACCCCAGGCGCCGGGAACCTTGTTTCCCCATGCTCGTCGGTATCTTCCCCCAGATTCCATCAATCACGCCGCGACTCCCCCGCATTTCGTGCATTGCAATGCTTGGTGTCTCCCGCCAGCCGCCCGAGATCGTCATTGCTACCGTCGGGAACGCAAAGAACCAGACATAGCCGAGCGGACAAACTGTCGACAGCACGGAAATGCTCTCTGGAGCGGGGAGGATGAAGAGAAGCGGCGGCGTGGCAGGGTTGGTCGACTACAAAAGCGTCCAGGGGCCATGTAGCCAGCAACAGAACTTCGAAAAGAGTCCCGACGCACGATCAAGTCAGTAGTCTGTCCTGAGCATCATGGCCCTCCTCCTCGGTTCCATACTTGGCCTGGCCGGCCTGACCCGCGCTGATCCGCCACCGCCCATGTCCCTGTGGCAGGTTAAGCCCTACCTCGACTACGACGATCAGCTGTATGCCGGGTGGGACCAGATCAAGGTCGTCAAGGAGGTGGAAGTCTATAACGGCCAGGCTGAGAATCGAACCTACGCCCACCACCCCGAGCTCTACGCCATCGGCGACAAGGTGTTCCTCATCTACTCGTCGGCACCTGTTGACGAGGACAGCATGGGTCAGGATGTTTGGCTGTCAACCTCCGACGACGCCGGACTTACTTGGACCCACGGCACCTCCATTATGCCGGCCGCCTTGCTACCGAACCAGACGGAGCTCCACAACTTCAAGTGGTGGTGTGATCGTGGCATCACGCAACGGGTATGGCAGGGTCTCGCGTTCGTGCGCCTCGACGACGGCGAGCTTTTCGCCATCGGCCAGTCCGGCAGCCGATGGTGCCCCGGCGATGGCAAGGGTGGCGGCTTCCGGTCTGCCGGTCGTATTGCCGTGCCCATCAGCCTCGACGGCGAGGCGACAGCCGACCCGTGCTGGATCGAGACAAACGAGTGGACCGAGGAGCAGCTGTATCCCGAAACCATATACGGCACCGAGTTTGGCATGAAGTTCTGCAAGCGAGCCTGCGAGATCAACAAACACCTCGTGCAGCCAGCAGACGCCCCCGCGTGGTCGCCGTGGTTGTACAACTCGCGGTTCATCGCTGGCGACGGCGCCCATCGCATGGAGGAGAACACGCACTCGGTATGGTTCAACGACACAGACTCGCCGACGGGCGGCTACTGGCAGCGGTTCTGGCGCGACATATCCTCGGAACCACTCAACACGCACAACGTCTGGATCGAGTACAACGAGGACCCCGAAGGCCGCGACTGGTACCCGCGTCGAAAGCAGGAGCAGGGCAACCGTATCTTCCAGACCAACATCCCCGACGGCAAAACGAAGCAGTGGCACGGCAAGCTCGATGGGTCGGGCGACCGTTATCTGCTCTCGAACCCGCGGTGGAACCCGGACAAGCCGGAGAGGCAACCTCTGACGTTGGCCATCTCGCGTGGAGACGACCCTTCGTTCCGGGCCGTGGGTGTACTTCGAACGAACGCACCGGACAATTGGATTCCGGACACGCGGGGTGGGATCAAGGACCGCGCTCACGGGTATAGCTACCCGACGGCGATCCAGATTGGCGACCGGTTGATTGTGTCGTATAGCGAGAACAAGGAGAATATCTGGGTGAGCGTCGTGGACATTAGCGAGTTTCCCGAGGACCAGGACAAGTGCCAGAAGTAGGGGATAGCCAACCGATGCTTGTTCGAAGCCTTATTTTGATTTCCTACGTTGGAGTCTAGCATGATGCGATGATTTGAATTCCTTCTCGTAGGCCTCGAAAGACACCATAAAGGCTCCGTGGAAAGAAGAAATCGGCAGACCCAGGAGCCACCTTCCCATCTTGTTTCGTTTGCCGCCCTGACGGCGTCGTCCCTCGCCAGCACGAACAGGCTGCAGCGGCCTGTTGTGGGGAGACCAACACTTGTGTAGCAGAATGGGTCCAGGCCAGGGACGCTCCAGTGTCTCCCACCTCAGACTTGAAGACTCGCCCTCTTCTCACTCTCAGGAGGGGGGAGTATTAGCACTGCGCAGAATTCTGGCTGCTTCCTCATTTCCTTTTGTTGAGCAGGCCTGTTGGAAGGACTGTTGCATGACCTGTGAAAATCATCGCTGGTTTGGACATGTTGTTTTGGCCTTCGGTGGCTCAAGACGGACATTCGCTGGCTACCTTTCCAGGGCATACCTGGCCAGGCTCAAGAATCCCGGTCAAAGGCCATTCTATGCCACAAGTCTGCTGGTCAATTCTTGATGTCATATTTTTTCTGAACCACAGTCCTCCTCATTCGAGGGCTTGGATCATGAACTCGGCATCTGACACAACCCTGGTCTGATTTGGAGGCTCGGCGTGAGCGAACCAACGGTCAGCGGGCGCAGTATATGTTAGGCCGCATCTGGCCTTCCCATGGCCCTTCCAGCTGTCCTCTTTGGGACAAAGATTCATGCAACAGGCCGGCATCACAGGATATGACGGATCAGGTGGATCTTTCTGAAGTAGAAAAAGTCAATCACTGGGCTGATTCAACAAACAAAACCTCGAGGCGGACTGACAGGGGGCACGCCATTCACGCCAATTCCCCTGCTTTTCCCAGTGTTCTGTGCAGTGTGCCCATGTCACTCTGAATCACGACGTCGACTCCACTTGCTGCCAACGCTGCGTAACAGTTCGTCACTCCCGTCCATCACAAACGGCGACCCAATTAGTCTGCGTGGGTGGTCGCCCCTTCGATGACCATACAGCCAATCGTTCTTTAGAGCCCGCCGCGGGTGTGCTACCCCTGTTACGCGAACAAGCCCTGGAACCAACGACACACCCTCATGATCATTCACAGCAGTGGACAAAAAGCTTCGTCAAGCGGGAGACCCGGATGTTCCCCGCAACGGCCGTAACCTACCCGGACCATTGATATACATTCTGGAGTCACACAAGCCTGGTGGTGGTGTTGAAGCACCTCACTCTTTCGCTCACTGCGGAAACTAATCGAACGGACCACGTGGGTGACGAGTCTCAACTTCAATAGACCCACAAGTCGATGACTCGAAGCAACGAGATCGCTAGGACAATTTGCTTCCTGGACAAGACTGGCCCAACAAACCAGCATTGGTGGTGTTGTACATGAGCGACAGTTTCAACGAGGACAGCCACCCGCCCCCTTTGAGCCCACTTCTGGCCTGTCCTTCTTCCTTCAGAAATGCGCACTCATGACCACGACTTCCAAACCCCGACGAGCACGACCAGGGGAGCGCAGCGACAGAAATAACATACGGGCAGCTCCTTTCTTCACGGGAGCAGGTCCGGTCGCGCGTTGAGGTGCTAGCATACAGGTCAAGGCTTGATAGACCTGCCAGCCGCTAAAGCTAGGCAAAAAAAGATGGTGTGGCCGTTGGTGCTTCAGGTACAGGGATGGCGGCGGCAAGCTCAAGAAACAGACCAACCGATCGAACCACTTGGCTCAAGAGCTGAGTTGTGATAGACCGACAAGGACAAGGCCGGTACTTCGTCGACAAGTGTCCCTGCATTTGCTGCACCGCGGCACATGCTCAGACTTCCCGATGACCGGTATCTCTCGCTCAAAGCAGATGTGTGGGGCAGTGTCGAGTCCATTGGGTTCGACAGCACTGCAGGAGTTCTGTATGTGAATCATTGTATTTTATCGGCTGCGCTGTGATCACGTTGGAAGTGGCTTGCTCACTACTAATTCCAGAGCGCGAGGGCGGCGGAGCAGGGAGTGAGCGGCATGCAAGCCAGCACAACGGACTGCGTCTGTCGAAGGGGTATGTAGAGTCGTCTGTGGCCCTTCCTTGGCTCACTGTTGTTCGTCTATGCTCGTTCCGGCACGGGCTCGTACAAACATGTGGAAATGAAGACAAGTAGACTTGGCTGGATGATACTTTTGAAGGCAAAACTCACGTTGAAGGGTTTCAAACCGGCATGGTTCGCACCAAAACTTTCATCCATCCGTGAGAGAATCAGCGCCAACCACTCCTTCGACACCACTCTGATGCATTTCAGTATCTGTACCCGTGTTCATCGAAAATGTACCAACGAGACCTAGTTCGCAGTGTGACAAGATGAAAGACCATTTTCTGGAGGTGCAGGGCTTCCCCTGTATTAGACACGGTGTCCAGAAAAGAGTGAAGAGGGGGGAGTATGAGAAAGTACATGGTGTGAAAACAAGGTCAGCCGATATCTGCAAGAAGGAAAAGAAGAAAGGAAATGGCATCATCGGACGGGTGGGCGTATGGTGAGGTCGCATAAGCGCGGCCCATGGCGAGGAGCAGGTGGCGTTCGGGAGGGTGATCGCTGTCTCTGTGACCGACTCGGGCATTTTTGTTTGTGTACTGGATTAGTCGAAGGTGAGAATAGATGACTGGGCCAAAGCAGAAGCAGCAGTGTTTTGACCGCAGCATCCTTGACCCTGGAGTCCTCATGTGCCATGTTAACCAAGGCGCCGCCTTACCAACGCACACATTGTGTGCTGCGCTGATCGAGTTGCCCCAAATCCAAGGCTCTAAGCCCTCCAATTTACCTGTTCATGCGGGTAAAATGGTGAAACCCCTGTTGCGTGTCTCCTCTTCGCGAGTATAAGATCCGCCAGCCTTGCCATCATGCTTGCACCTTCGTTCTGATTTCCATCCTTCTTCACGTTGTACCTCTTCCAACAATCTAAAATGTCGTTTCCCAAGAAACAGGCCCAGATACAGAGAGTCACCAAGCTCTATGCAGAACTCAACTATCCGAAGGAGAGTCGTTTCTATCCAGAGCTGAAAAAGCAATTACTTTCTTTCTTCGAAACCTATCAAGATCAAAACGGCAAGTATGCGCGGGAGTTCACGTCAATGACAAAATACGAAAGAGCAACGACCAAGGAGGCCTTTTCAAGGATGGCCAAAATCTTCAGCGATACTGACAACAGAGGCAACCACTTTTGGCCGAGTGATCCTAGTTCACCTTATCGCAACGGCCTTGACTTCAGCGTTCCAGTAGACAGCTCTAGGTATGAGAGCGAGAACGGGCCGCATCACTTCATGAGCTCAAATTTTGTACAACAGGATCTTGAGCTACTTGGGGCAGCTCTTCTACCGCAGGTCCCGGCATTTACGTGAATACGATAGCACAAAGAGCAAGAAGACGACTGATAGTCCCGACAGTCTTGACGAAGACGAACCAAGCCCTAGTTTCACTGGGTCCACGTTTCAGCCTGATGGTCCCCAAAATAAGGACACCAACTTGCCACCTGACAGGTACCTCATGATACCCAGATACCCTGTGCTTACAGACTTGCTGACTTTGCAGTCCGGCGGCGCGGTTTGAGGCCTCTGAATCACGACCCTTCCAACCGCACCTGGACGAGCCAGAACAGAGCACTACCACCCCACTCAACGTCGCCGACACTGTGAACACACCAGCCGCATCGCGTCGCTCAGGGAATGCTACAGACTTTCGGGGCGAGTACGTGGATCCGCCCTCGATCATTGATCTGATCAACACACCTTCCACATTCAGCAGCACCAGACACGGGAATGGTGGCGCTCAGAAACAATCTGGAAAACGCACTAGAGGGACAGAGTCTTTGACTCCAAGCAAGAAGAAGACGCCAGCAGGCAAAGCAGGTGCAGGTTCCCATACCTCACCCGAAGGCACGCGATGGTCTTCGCGAAATCGAACGAAAAGGGTCAAGGAGGGTTTCGTTTACGGCTCTGATGTAGACGCGGAAGTCGCTGCTGCCGTGCGGCGGGATCAAGAGGAACATGAGGCACGAAATGCTCAACGATCTGAGCAGCACGCTGCAAATAAATACACGGTCATTCCCACCATCGAAGGGTCCTCTGCCTCTGGCCAGAATGCGCCGGAGGCGCCAATGCATTCGTCATCCGAGCATGTAGAACCGGCGCAACAGGGCATCCCGAAAATTCCACCTAAAGTCGCGAAAGTTGTCGATATCACGACCAAAGTGATTCTCTCCGCGGGAAGACTTACACGAGAGGTACCATGGCAGTCGGAGTCTATCGTTGCTCGGATGAACCTCACACAGTTTGTGGACGAAATCACCAAGCTGCTGGACCTCAAAGAAGGTGGGTTCACGATCAAGGGCTTCAAGCTCACGCTGAGAATTCTTGACGCGGAACGGAAACGTCACGAGAGTGAGGTTCCCCTAGGGCGTGAAGATCTGTTCGATAGTTGGAAAAGGACGGGAACGGCTCTCACGGCCACAGCAGTCAAGAGACGAAAACAAACTGAACAGATCGTCGCATTACTCCCTGTAAGCATTGAGATTATAGTCCATGCGGAGGGCCAGCAAGTCGAGTCTGCCACGGAAGACGAGTTGGACTTGGATGTTTGGAATTGAGGATGCTTTGTTCTATGGGGTTTTTCTTTTCGGCTTTTTTGTTCCAAGTGTGCATCTTATCCACTCATTTCACCAATTGATAGACCACTCGGTTGTTTTCTATCAGAGATCATGCTGTTTACGTCGATCCAGTAAGGGACTGGCCGTTGGAGGCATTTCATCCTCGACAACACCCCAGCGCAAACCAAAGAGGATCTGGTAAATCCAGTTCATCTCTAGAATGGGGCTTTTAGAATTCTCAATGGTTGGGAATGGCTGATTTTCTATTGTTTAGGGCCAAATGTAATGTTTTGGCCGCGGACAGTGCTGTTGCCACTTGCAGCGTCTCCTCCTTGATCTATGTCAAGTCGAAATATAACGGCACGAGATCGTATCCTGAAAACTGGACGTTTGTTGAAAGTCTGTCATAAGACAAGTACATTTTCTCGTTACTGTAGCTAAAGTAGCTGCATTGTCTAGTCAGACCTTCACTATCAACTTGATAGTATCAAGTCATCCGCAGATACATAGCTATTCGAAAAGGGAGACCACATGGGGAACTTGGAGGGACAGCACGTGCTGATTAGATATGTAGCTGTCACAACAATTCGTTTCAGTTGACATGTGTTTGGAGTTCTGAGGCATATGGAAGGGTCAATGAAATCGGATACAGGACATGGATTGGAACACGGATTTCAAGACGTACCCTGTGTTTTTTTTGCGTGATACGAAAGGCACCTGCCCCGCGTCGCTCCTGGAAAAGATGCTTTGGCTTCAGGCAGGCTTACTGAAAAGCAGAAGACGACCAATCCAGGAAGCGAAGGTCTGTGATGGTGTGGCCTAGATGATGAAATGAAAACCCAGCCTTGTATCCGGAACTATGGTCAAAATTCGAGTATCGAAGTTCGGAATTGTGATACAAAAACATTTCATGGACATAGAACGCATGCTCTTGATGGACGAATGGAATGCATGTGGCATTCCGTGTTCCATTCATCGTTATCTAGAGCATCGAGCAGAACCCTGTTACGTGACATCTAGGCGGCTTTGGAGCAACAGAGCGCTGTATTTTAGGGGCCTCCAGCTGACCTCCAGCCATCTTCTCGGCAATTTACAGGCTGCATCCACTGGTCAAACGACTATTAACAGCTGCGCCGACTCCACCATCACGCAGCAACACGTGACCTGCATGAGACCCTAGGATATTCAGCATTCAAAGTCGCAATCTGGCATCGTTCATCAGCCTCCCTGGATTCACGTCTCACTACATCCTCTCTGTGCATTGCTTGTTTTTTTGTTGCTTTTCGTCTCTCATTAACGTCACAATGCCTTCCCCGATTGTAACGGCCACGCTTCAGGCGTCCACACTTTCGACAGTGTCAAACCTTTGCGCCCAGTTCATCCAGGCGTACCAGGAACAGGTGCGCTCCTTTGCCAGTGCTTAGACATGTCGCCCTCCCCTTTCTGACAAAGAACCAGCGACCATTCCGCCTGGACCTGATCCAGCTGCTACGCTTCATTATCCTCTCCGCCGTCACGTGTCCGCCCAATTTTCACTGGCAGCAGTTCCTCGAGCGGAGTTTCCCAGCCTACCCGTTGCCCGCACATGCGCCGACGGACCGTTCCGCCGAGATCGAGCTGAAGCGCCTCGACAGCGAACCCTCGCGGCTCGAGGATGGCACCGTCGTCGCGCCGGAGCCCCAGTTTAGCTTGCGCAACACGCTGACCAAGTGGTTCGTCGACTGCATCACCATGGGCGCCATTATGAACACGGTTGCCTTTCTCGTCATCATGGGCGCGCTAAAGGGCCAGGGATTGGGTCCCATCTGGTACAACGTCAAGACGGTACGTGCTTCAGTTTTGCTTTTTTGCTTTCCACCAGACTCCATGCCCGCCAAAGTCACCTGCTTTTGCTGACTGACGATAGCAAACGATCCCGATCATTGTCGCGGGCTACAAGATTTGGCCTCTGGCGTCTATCATCAGCTTCAGTTTTGTACCTGTTCACAGACGCATTGTGTTCCTGAGCTTTATTGGCTTGATTTGGGGTATCTACATGAGCCTTGTTGCAGCAAAAGTCTAACCGCATGATGTCTGGTGTTCATGTACAATGTGTCTGAGATATATGAACGGGACCTTGTGAGCTTCGATGGCTCGGTCGTATTCTCAAAGACGATTGTGTAATCTAGAGGGGAGGGGAAGACGAGGTACTGTTTTCTGGTTTCCAATTCTGCAACAGCACTACCGTTTCAGCATTTCCGAGTTGCTCGGCTGCTGTGAGTAATCGTGCCACCAGGCGAAGAGGCTGTGGCAGCTTGATATCGCTCAAGGAGGCGCGCGGCCGAATGGCCTCGTACCGCTTTAGTGTATCGGAAAGATCAACTAGGCTCCCTGGGAGCCGCGCCTGTGCCAGAGCCGTATGCCAGAGCGCGAGCCCCGCAAGGTTCGCGTCTTTCTTTGACAGGTCCTCCGTGTCCAGCAGGGAGAGCGCAATCAGCATTCTGATGGCGTACTTGTCGACCTTGGTCTTGTCAGTTTCGTGGATGACGTATTTGTAGCAGTCGTGGGCCAATTCGATGGGGATCGATGCGCGTAGATCGCCGCCATAGAAGCCCTTCACGTCGCGTGGCAGAGGGGTCTTGTTTCTCGGATCGAGCGCATTGAGCCAAATACTGACGATGCTTTCGGGCACTGCGTTGCTGAAATGGTCCACTTCGATGATATCGCGTAGGACCGTCTTGTTCGCCTCGAAGCGTTGCTCTGGCGTGGACCCCGTGGCGGGGGCGCCCGCTAAGTATGGTCCATGCATCGGCTCGTCAAGCATCGACGTTGTAGCCCAGTTGCGTCAAGGAGATGGTGCTAGCAGCGGAGCGATTCTCTCTGACAATGAAAAGTATCCCGGGGCATTGAACGTCAGCTCAGATTCTTTTTGTGTCAGGCTTTGATTGATCCTCATTCACAGTCATGGAAAACGAGGGCTTAGTCATCTTGCACCGAAATATTGACTCTGTTCATAAAGCAGCATTAAGAGACTAAATCAAGTCACGATTCCATCTCAAGGCAATTGATTTCAGACTCTGATAACCATCAATCATTCAAGGCGCATAGCTAGAGTTGTAGCCAGAGCAAGCTGTTCTGTCACAAGTAAAGATTTGACGGCCCTCATGAATTCAGGGATTCGGACATACTCATTCCCAAATTAGAGAAACTTAAATCAATTTCATCCACAGCTGGCAAAGCCGCTTCTACATAACCGGGCCGAAATACCTGTAAAGGTCAAAACTGCGCATCCTCATGTTTCAATTTCCAAGTCCCCGGATCGCTCACTTTTCAAATACATAGCAGGGAAATCTGACACGCCCGGATTCCGAAACGAACAAGTCAAATATTTTACCGATTGACTCAAAACAGCCAGCCATTGTCGGCGTGTGTAACAGCAGCTCTCCGCGACAATGTACCTGTTTCCCATGAGTGGTTCCTTTCAGTAGCGTCATGAAGGCTCAGAAACCGATTAACACTACTTCTGTGTATTGGCTTTCCATGTTGATTAACGAACAGTCAATATGAACATCGACTTTGCCCACTGCATCCCTAGACATATATATACCAATACCTCGTGCTTCTCAATACCGACCATTTGCCATCACCAACGCAACAGAACAAGCTCAGAAGACAGTTAGCCGCCATTCGCGAATACGTTTACCACCAAGTCCTCAAGCATATATCGAAGAACGCAAATTTTCAAATCACCACCATGTGCCATCTATCCGTCAACACTGGCAATTGCAGCCTCTGCCATACACCGGACAACATGCCAGCAAATGTGCTTCGCTGCAAGAAAGCCAATGATCGCAACGTCGAATGTGCTGGGCCTCTGAACTCGAGCCAAAGTGCAATCCCTACCAAGGAGTGGAACGTATGCGAAATATGTCTGTCGAAAATCTTGGCGGCTATTGTCCACAGTCATTGACTGTCAACGTCCAGGGTCTTGGCGTAGCAACAACAGTAATCTTTTTATGTGTCAGTGCAAGCTATTGAAAACAAAAAAGTACAGCCCTGACTAACCTGAAGAGTCCCCGAACTGATACGAAATCTGGAGTCAAAGCTATAGCGCATGGAGTCAAGAGCCTTCAACAGGGAATATTCCAATGATAGCCTCAGATAATATAAATGACTGGAATGCGTACTGCCTTCAAAAGAGCTACAATGCGAGCAGCGTGTGTGACTGTAATGTGATGATAACTCGATATGCTCTTTCTGATCTAGTCCCTCACGAAGGATGACACAGATGAGAACGAGCGCACTGAGCGGGGTGATGTCGGCGTCGGTGTCACCGGCAACGGCGAAGCCCATCGTGAGATTGGTTCGTGAGTTTGTAGGCGTGGATGTATCAGTGGAGGTGGGAGCGGGCCCATGTCTGGTGATGGCTGATGCCTCGGCATGTAGCGTTTGCCTGGACGCTGGCGGGATCTTTCAGGCATGCCGTGTCCCTCAAATAAGGTTGCAAGACTTTCCAAAACTGCTTGCGAGAGTACAAGCTTCTCGTTGGGCAAGGCAATTCTCCGGCCTGATGTCAAGAAATAATCTAGTTCCCGCTTCAGTCTGTGAGGCTTAAGCTCAGCAGCCCAGACGCTCTCTTCGAAGCGTTTTCTTGTTGGCAAAAGCATCCAGTCCCAGCTTGCCAGACGGGCGAATAGGCGTGGCGATAGTGGCAAGAACGGACCCCAAGCCTTGCGTGGAATTTCCAGAAGTCCGAAAGCGTGGAGGACCGCGAGTGAGAGAGTTGTAGTGTCGGACTCCGAGTCACTGGGCAGCCCAACCTCAGTCGTGACGCGAGCCGCAGCCCTCTTTTCATCCTGTGCAGGGTCAAAGGCATAGAGAAGATCCTCGAGCGTCTGTTGCATCTCTGTTGAATTTAGGTCCGTATCTTGAATGAAAGGAACCGTGATCCATGCATGAACCTGTGGCTCCCACACATCCCAGCATTCAGGGTCGTCGCACAGGCTGACCTGGCAAACGCGACAAACCTTCATGCAATGTTTCGCTGCGACACTCATAGCCTTATCGCAGCAGTCGCATGTCCAGTTATAATACGTATTTTCCTCGTACTTGTCGCTTTTCTCCACAATATCGACTCGTAAGGCAAGTCGATGGAACAGAGTGATTGTATGCTTGTCGTAACCTCCACGGAATAATAGCAGGTCGATCATATCGAGCATCGCAGTCTGGTGGTTGCGCAGAGTTCTGTGTGTGTATACTACCTTCAATACGGACGCATGAATTGTGCGATCAAGCCAACGTATTGTGTCTGGAGCTGGGTTCTTGCGTACACAAGGGTGTGTGTAGTCGAATGGTTTCAGTCCAAACCGGTCTCTCACGTCTATGAGGTCCGTGAAGAAGTCACTGGCTTCCACTCCGCCAGAGGCCCAGTAAAGCTTGCTAATCATTGACTGCGTGGTGGGATGCCGTGAATTGCAATGAAGGACAGTCTTACCTGCCCAATCAAGTGCTTCCATGTGGTCCCGGACGTCTTGCCGCTTGAGAAGAACATCTAAAGCTTTCGGCTTACGTCTCTGCATGACAAGATGCACTGCTGTCCTCCAAGAGGTGCCGTCAGGTCCACGCTGGCAACGTATGGGATCTGCCCCATTTTCAAGGAGATACTCCACGAGAGGCATATTCTGAACGACACACGCCTCGGCAAGAACCGTGAAGCCATCACAGGCCACAACATCGTTGATACCAAGTCCGTGATTGAGCAGCAGGCGGACAAGCCGGAGCGCAATCCCTGGCTCTTGGTCGACAATCCGTCCAACACACGAATCGCCCAGATGGTCTTGCTGGCTCATATCAGCGCCATTGTGTAGCAGAAACTCTACAACAGCCACTGCACCCTCACGACAGGCGTCAATGAGTGGCGTATGGCCGTAGAAGTCTTGGTAATTAATCAGCTCTGGTGCCGCAGCGTGCAGGATTTTAACCGCCTCCAGATTGGCCTTTTGACAGGCTTGGTGGAGTGGAATATCCATGAACAAGTACGCTTGTGACTCAGGTCGAGCTCCAGCTGCCAAGAGACACGCAATGGTTTCCTGCGGCTTCACAGCCCTCGCAGCCCGGTGTAGTGGTGTGTCGATTAAAAGACTCCCCTCGTCCTGTAGGTTGATCATTGCTGGGTCGTGGTCTAACAATGCCTGACAGACATCAGCCATACCATCACCAGCAGCATAATGTAGAGGGCTCTCCGCCTGAGCCGGAAGATGGAAAATTTGGGTATCTGCGCCGTAAGCCAGTAGGAGCTTCGTCATTTCAGCACCCTTTCCGGGTTGAACCGCATGAATGAGCACATGGACACCGTGTTCGGGGATGTAGTTGGGATCCGGCGGCAGCGGATGCTCCATGAGCATGCGGACGATGGCGGGGCAATTCCTCTTGACAGCGAGATGGAGTGGTCCTCGGTCGCCACAACCCCTCTTCCACTGTTGGGTCTGCGCCATAATCAAGAAGCATCCGCACGATGCTCTCACTTTTGGTTGAGACAGCTCTCCACAGAGCGGACCTTCTACCCCAACCCGCATGTATCTCAAGCGTGTTCAACGGGGCGCCGTACTCAAGAAGAATCCGCGTCATACGTGCATCTCCCGCGCCCTCGGCCTGAATAGCGTAATGAAGCGGGAGCAGTTCGGCCTGACCAGGGACATATCCTGGTGTCGCGCCGGCAGCAAGCAACATCTCAGCAGAAGTAGAGTAACCATGTCCTGCCGCGAACGCTAGAGGGGGTATACCCAATTCGCCATCCTTCAGCGGCATCAGGTCGAGGTTGACACCAGGCCTCTCGAGGAGACAAGCCAGCCACTCAGGACGCTCCAATATCAGCTGATGGTGCAAAATTCCAACGCCGTTACCGTCGATCATGTTTATGTCGCTTATACCACGAAGAAGAATCTTGAACATGTCGAAATCTTTTCTGACTATCGCATTTGTTATCGGGCTCCGCTTGTCCTGACACCACACGCTGGCATCGGCCCCTGCATCAATGAGCAACTCGACTGCTTTCAGATCCGTACCTAAGACAGCTGCAGATTCGAGGACAGTTATTCCTTTGAGATCTGAAACGTTTGGTAACGCGCCATATTGCAACAACTTTTGAATCAAGCGCGCATGATTCAATCTTCCCGCAATGTGCAAGCAGGTATCTCCTGCATAAGATGGAATGTTCGGGTTAGCACCAGCCTGTAGGAGTATGTCAGCGATTTCGAGGGAGCGACTATCGTTGTCCGCTGCCAGGGTTCTGTGACTGCCTTGACAAGCAATAAGTAGCGCTGTTTCTCCAGTACCTCTGGCTCGTTTGTTGATGTCTTGGGTACACTCGAGGACTAGCTCTATGATTTGAATGTGCCCCTCACGGCAGGCATGGTGTAAAATGTTGAGACCGTGGTAGTCTTGAAGGTCATCCCAACATCTAAGAAGAGGTTCTCGACGACGGATGGCAAACTTCAACATGTTCCTTGGCAGGTCTATCATGCCAAAGGGTAGTAAGCGGTCCATGATCCTTTCAAGAACGGGCTTTGTTTGTGCTGATGACAGAAAATGCTGGACCATGATTCGCGCGTCTTCTTTCGCCAACTCAATGCAAGGCGGCACACGATGGCCGGCGCATGATTCGCTCTCATTTTCTGACCATGCTTTGTAGTGGCACCAAGTCTGAAAGGGTTGAGATCGGTCAGATATGAAGTCCTCGAGCTTCGATAACAGTTTGAAGCCCTTTGTCTCGGATCGTGCAAGGTGCCGCGCCCACCGTGTCGCGGCGTACGAGTAAAATGGGTACTTTGAATTGAGGAAGTCTTGTGCTTCTGGTCGTGGTCTATCATAGATAGAGAATGGCGAAGTGAACTGTGGGCGTGATAGATATCTTAGACAGATGGCGGCCATATTTGCGTGTTGTTCTTGTCGAGTAACAAATCTTTCAATGTAAATAACCAAGCTTCTGTGAATAGGTCTAAATCCGGGGCCATGACAGGGCACGAGTCGAGAGATCCGGCCTCTAAGCAACGACCATGGAGTCATGCCCTTGACATCCGAGTCGTCATACAGACACGATATCGCATCTAGCATCTCTGTCATATTGAGCGGGCCGAGAGCGCTAATATGGAGCATCAGCAGAAGCAGAGCGTAGTTATTGCTGCTCGTGTCCTGTAGAATAGGTAAAAGCTCGTGATCATAGTATTGAGAGACTGGCGGAGGACAAATGTCGTCGTATGATTCGAAACCCCCGCGCCTGCAGTCTTCTGCCCGTTCAAGTTCTGCACAATGACTAGCTGCGGCGACAAAAAAGGTATCCGACTCATCTTTGACCCAAAGTTTCTTTTTGCGGATCATCTGTGACGGGATGATACCAGTGAAGCGCTCAAAAAACTCATCAACATATACTGCGATATCTGCCTTAACGACGGCTGGCGCGAGTTGGATATGTCGGAATCCCGATGTCTGGCGAGGTACACGATTGGGGCTCAAGGTAAGCAGAAACTTGAAACGTGGCCTAGGTAGTTCGACTTGACCTGGAAGCGGTGTCTGGTCGATTCCTTCAATGATAAGTTTACCGATAAGACTGCTAATTTGCTGTACGAGACGTTCCACGAAAGAGGAATCACACAGGTCAAGGCCATCAATGATGAAGTAAACGGTATTCATCGAAAGCTTTGTGCTCTTGATACCACGCAGAATATCAAACAGGGTATCGTGAGAAAATCGAGAACCTGGGGGTTGACGATTCCTGTATCTGGGAGGAACGCCATCGAACCATTCCGGCTTACGGCACAGAAGGTCGTAGATGAAGTAGTCTAGAATGGCTGGTTGTGTTGCATGGCTCGTATGGGTGTTGCAAAAAAAGGCTACCGTTGGATTTTCTGGAGGTTGAACAGTAATCAGGTGGTTGACAATGGTCTTTGCGAGATACGTTTTGCCTGTGCCAGTATCTCCTGTGATGAACAAGGCACTCGAAGAGGGAGAGCTCATCCAGTTCTTGAATGCGATGTTGAACAAGAACCAGTGCCTGGTTCGCAGCGCTGGGGTAATATGATTGCCGAGATTGTCCTCTGTCCAGCCTTTCAGCCAGGTCATGAATGTGAGGCGGTGCTCGTTGACAAGCTTTCTCTGGGATCGGGTCAAGGATCCCCGACTGCTACTTGAAGAATCACTTGCGCGCGCTAAGGTTAAGGGCATCAGACAGAGGTTCTCATATGCACAGTCAACCTGACTCACCAGGGCTTGTCGGCCTCGATCCAGGCAGTGTCGATGGCGGCGACTTTGGGCGGGGTGATTTGGGCGTCGGCAGTAATGGTAACGTGGCAGGTCTGAAAGTAGTGCCCTGCGTGATGGCGGCGTGCATGTCTACAAGTCGTTCTTGAAGTCGACGAAAGCAGTCGTCTACCGGGGATGCAAAATTCGTCATTTGTTCATGGGTGCACTCCATGATTTCGGTGATACCTTGGCCCATTCCCAGGGCAGAACTGGCTTTCGGGATGATATTTGTCATGTAGGCGGGCTCGTCATCGGGCGCGATGTTGGTCGTTATACCCTCAGTAAAGTTGACAATCTCAAGTTCTCTGGTCAGACCGGCAGTGAAACTGAGATTGATCGCTTTGGCCGACTCAACATACTCCTTGATTTCGTTGGTCGTGATACGGGACGACTGCCGGGCATGCAGAAGAACAGTGGTTTTGACGCAGGTCAACAGAGGCTCAGAGTCTATGATGTGTGGCGTCCCCAAGAAAATGATTCCGGCTGCAGTTGCCCTGATCGACTTATGATTTGGGAAGCTTGGGTTCAGAAGACATAGCGCAAGCGCCTGAGGGCTTGTCAGTATCAGCGAATGACATGGGAATGCACGGCCAGACCACCTTTTTGATTATGAGCCCACCAAAGCCATGGGCTACGAATATGAACGGACCTCCTCCAGTGTCGCTGCAGCAGCTGTTGATGAGGCCTATGAGTTCGGTGGCATGCATGGCGATGCTGGCTGCATTCATGTTGGCAGCCAGGTCAGCGTTGTAGGTGTAGAGCATGACACGTGCATTGTCGGCAAGCGAGCCTAGGAAGTCCGTCTCAGCGACCCATGTCTTGCCTGCGATATCGTGATACCATGTCTGCAAGGGGTTGCGGCCGAATCCGTGAACACAGACGATGCTGAGGGCATGAGCTCACTGATTAGGGGAAGGCGGTTCAAACTCACTCAACGGTGCGGCGCCAACGTGGGCTGGGTATGGTCCCGGGCGCTGGGTAAACAGTCTCGAGACCCAGCGAAGGCATGTCGTTGGAGCGTTGATGCCAGAGCACCTTTGCTTACCTAGGTTGAGTGAGAATGTATGAGGGGAACCGTGAGCAAGGCAGACACCCCTCAGACTCTCAAAAGCAGGCGGCCAGCCCTGAGTAACAGCCCTGTCAAGTCAGCATGTTGGCCACGACATGTTGCATTGTCTTTTGTTGGCCGCGATTGGGCAGGCGATCCTAGGCTGCATCGGCTTCGTGCGACGAACATGCTGCTGGGGCTGAAATGCTGCAGATGAGGCATGGTCCAATTTGAGTGACCGAAGGCGCTCGAGCAGGGGTAGCAATTGTTGAGTGTGCATCTGGCGCAGCTAGAGCCAATTGGCGTCTCTTCACTGCCGCATCCATCCAACTTCACCTTTCTGACGCTTGGGTGGGATTCAGAAGGCGGCGAGAGGGGCACATGGCGGCGGAACAATCATAATGCTAATCAAACGCGGATTGGGTATCGAATTATGGACCCTTGCGAAAACATTGTTTTCTACTTCGCCATGGCTTCATCTAGAGCACGACGAGCAACCTCTTCGAGCTCATCCTGCTTGTCGCAAAATATATTGATGGCTTGGTTAAGCTTCGCTTCAGCCGATCCATGTCCGCTTCTGGTGAACAAAATGCGATATGCACTTTCTCTTCCCCTATATGAAGCGTCGAATGCTTTCCTGTCGAACTTTGATTCCGGCCCAGCTGCAAAGTAGGCACCGAGCTTACCATGCTCACTTGGAAGTGAGCTGTCTGAAAGACCACTGAGGAGGGGCGGTGACACGGTAATGTGGTGGATGCCGGCCAACTGCAAAACCTCCGCTGTGGACGTCAAGCTAGCTGCAAGGACCTGCGTTCGCGCTGAGGTTTCGGCATAGTGATGCTGTACTTGGGAATTCCCACCACA